GTCCGTGGAATATCTCAACTCTGTTTGGGTTTTAGTCAACTTATAAGTGCACGTGTACATACATGAAATGTGGGGTGTGCTCGCGTGTCAATGGGCACCAGAGGTGGGTAAGAGTTAATGCACAAACTTTAACCGAAGCTTTTTTTAAGAACGACCATTCCGGTGATCTGGCTATATTGCGTAGTAATCCTCGTACAAATGATTTGCGACTTGGGATTGAATTTGTTCTGCTTAGATTAAATATTAAATCTCAAAGCCGATTAAGTACTATTCTTAGCTATACATGGGAGATCTCTGGAGTCCTTGTTTCTTATTTGAGTTATGAAAAATCCTGCACCTGTACTTGCCCTACTTGTCCCGTACACCCTGGAATCATCGTCAAGGTGAACGGTAAATTTCATCCCCTCGATTTTTCTGCTTTCCGCTGATAGATGTAAACTGTTCACGAAGGTCGATCAGACAGGCTTCAGAAGTCAAATAACAGGAATAAATAAATTTATTGAGGTCTTTTTTATTGTCACCATGATCAATTGATCCGTGGCACATCGTTTCAATGTTTGTAGAACCACATTTTCGAAAACCCCCATCACATTTAGCTCCGTTGTATTTGCTCGTCATATAAAAACACCTCTGGAGTAGTTTTATTGTCGTGCTAATATGTATACATGCCCCATGCACCACGTGGTATCCAACAAACTCATTTGTGGAACTCTATTGGTTACGTTGCTGTTCAGCGCTTATTCAAACAGTAGAAATCAAAACAAAATTTGACCGTCAACAAAGAGCAAATAAAAACAGGACCATCCAATTAAAAACGATCTGTGGTCATAAAGCTACGGAGAGGTTTGATCGATCGACCGCCAACGGTTGAAATGGGCTTGAGAATGGGATGCACGTTATCGGTCCGTTTGAAGCACTTCTCATATGTATGTTCAAATCAGATTACTGAGAACTGTCATCTTTTATAATGTGCGATTTCGAACTGATTCCTCCGTTTATCTATGCCTTAAATCGATTTACTGCTGCTTTCAACAAACTTCGCAGACAAAGCGAGCTGCGGAAGTGTTTATCAGTAGGATAATGACATTTATCCGGGTTTTTTTCCTTGTGCCGAAACGAATACTGATTATGGTAAAGTTCGACTGTGCGGAAACGAGTTCGCGAATCGGATTCACCACGTCAAACTGAAACCTGGAACCAATAAAAATGTGTTGTGCATTGATTCGTGGATTTATAGGGTTCTCGTTTTGTCAGGAGTTCAGGAGTTCGAGAGTCTTTATATATAGCAGTATTGGATCTAACCTAACTAAAATGCAAAATTGCCGTAAAACGCGCTAGGCGTTTTGCAAGTCGTCAATCGATACTTAATTGAACACATACTCAATTTCGTAAAGAAACAGAAACCCTCAAACTCCGAGAACATTCATGGAAAGCCAATATTTATTTCAGTCTTTTACTGATCATNCGGTGGCTGCCAAGTGCATCCGGACGATATAAACGCTACACAGGAGTGTTCATTACTGAGAGTTGTCATCAACCACTGAACTTCTTAATAAGCATCTTAAATGTCACACTCCTGCGCTTTTGCAGTTCACCACTCTTGAACTATTTACTCTCGAAACGAATGACTCAATAAGTTTTCGCGACTGTGGATTTTGTTTCTTTTATTCTGTCGATGTAAACAGAATCTTCGAAAGTGTCAGTATCATGACTAAATGTTGTTCACATGTGTGTTCATTTTGTTTCCGTTAGTCATCGCAGCAGTTGACGAAAACCAATGACACGTTAGCGAAAGAAAGAATTGTACTGCTTCTTTTCCGGCTGTATCATCAAAATTTACAAATATGGATAAAATGGCTGTAGCATCATCTTTCGGCGATCGGTATTCCTTAGGTATTGTCCCAACAATACATTTTCCAGTTGAAGCAATAGTCTGAGAGAATTTTGTCTTGTAACTTGTTCGGAGGTGACACCAAATATAACCCCCATCTGAATCGTTTGCATTTTCAGATATCGGAAGGATACAAATGATAAACGATGTCACAAACATCATTCGCTCTCAGCCGAGTACCGTAACCATATCTGGTTCAGCCTTGTTTACTGGTGCGAATGTATGTGTTGATTAAACACAATCTAACCCGGACTGTTAGGAACATAATCCGAGTGTAATAACCATTTGATTACCGAACAGCTGCTGATTACTCATCTTTAGAGGTTGTCCGTGCTTTATCCGGCAGGTGGAATGTTTGATCAGCCCTCAGTTCGTATGCGACTNCTATTCGGTCTTTCGTATTCAATGCTATCAGCGTGACATGTTCGCTGGATCAATGGCCCGGTCCCAGGGACAGAAATACATTTACTGTGAGAAACAATACCAAAAATACTACTACTCTGTTTATCAACTGTGCGGCAAAACACGACCGACAATTTGAATCAAATTAAATATGTTTCCGAGTATAACGCAACTTTTATTCTTCCATTAGTTTGTTTGTCACTGTTCGCTGTTCACCTTCATCAATTATTGAGCAGTNCGATAGCAACATGACACCACTTTTCCAGCTGTTTCATCAATGAGACATCGTCATAGAGATTAGGACAGATGGAATACGGACACAAAAGTTTGTTTGTTCCACACTGCCAACAGGTCACTCAGAATGACCTCAAGCGGTTGATTCTCATTCAACAATGCAGATAAATATCACCCATCGGTCCCCATCATAACCTATTGTCC